AGTGTATAACCAGTTGACTGACCAATGAGCACATTACCTGAGAGTATGTTTGTCATGTGACTTTGCACCAGTCCTTCCTCCAACAATAACCAAACCACCTTCACCATGTGGAATTATCAGTGCCGCAATTTCCCTGAACAAAAACGATCGATGTTAACTTTCTAGTGTAATGAAATGACAAGGTGGAAGAATGATATAAGATAAACCTACCTAAACTGGAATGGCTTGYCCTGTGGACTAACTTTTGTCTGCCATAGTAGTTTCAGGTAGTGATCATAAAGATGTACAGACCAGTCACTTGTTACAACTACAATAGACTATTATACAAACATAGTTTTTTTTTATTAGTATTTTGGTAAGTCCCACTTCACTACTAGTCTCCTCGCAGCCATTCTTCGTGGTGGGCTCCCTGTGTGGGGGACAGGTAGCCCGCCACTAAGAACGGCTGGGAGGAGACTACCACTTCACATGCTGAGCATCCCATTTGATGAATTTAGTGCAAATTGCAACTATGTTCTTCCTCCAATAAATAATTTAATGAATAATTAAGTAATAATTAATCAATAATAATTAGTAATCAACTAATTCTTTGTTTTTTCTTCTTGAATTCAGCACACTTAAAAGGGCCTACAATCATTCATTATTGAATTGATAAAAAGTCCATACACTGATCATATCCCATGGATAGTGTATAATAATAATATCCATATCCCATTTTGCATTCCATGATACCATGAGCAATATCAAGAAGGACAGCTGATAAAGCACACGATGACTGCCTTTCTAACTCCTCACACATAATTAAACATCTTGCTAAGATTTCTTTGGTCCCCAAAAAGCGAGAACCTTTTCAGTTTTCCAAGGAAAATCAAAGTCTCTGGCTCTAGACMATGACACAAGACCTWGAATCTGGATCATTCATTACCTGCATACTCAATGGCATATGGTAATTTTTGAACAACACTCAAAATTTTGTAATGATCCTTTAAYTTRGATGTTCTCTCTGAGACAATAATAAACCTAAACACTAATTTGACCTCTAAATAGCTTTCAAGACTATGTATCACTTGACCAGTGAAAACCATGAATTCCATTGATGTATAAAGTCTATTTTTGTATGACAGACTGGCTTCTCACCTGATAACAAGTWCCACCTTTTAAAGGAGCCTGGAGACAACCAGTTGCCATAGCAACAGGGATAGCTTGATGATCAGACAACTCAGCACTGACTCTAACTGATGCTTCATGCTTTAAGAAAGCAATAAGAATTATGGTGAGTATACATTCATGTGTTAAGTTGTTGCTAAACAAAAATACATGGAGCATCAAAAACTTTCAAGGTTGGTTATTATTGCCAATTCATTGAGGATCTACAGCAAGTCCTAACAAATGCCATGAAAATTGCACGCATGGTAAATTGTCAATCATTATTTCTTGAGAAAGACATCATGTTTTAACATCATGTTTTAAAAACAGACAAAGGCTGGATTTTGAGACCTTGTTTTTGTGTCTTGTCCCTATAGTCTATCAAACAATGATGGTGATATACTGGCACCACTTTTGATAGTTTTGCATGTAATCGAAAATGATAAAAGCAATAACTTAATGCTATTTGTCCTGAAAGACTTACCTTTGTATGCAAATGAGGCAAGACAGAGTGACCAGATGGATCATGAGAAGGAAAAGTCATTATTTTGATTGTACCATGATGGGTGGCAACTATCAGCTCTGCAAATAAAAGTACATGTATTAACAAATGGGAATAACAATAATTAAGCCTTAAAAGGATGCTGGAGTTAGTCTAGGTAGCCAGAGTGCCAAACAACAGACCAATTCAAAGTTATATCTTACAACGAAAGCAAAAACAAATAAAAAAATAAATAAATAACACACACACATGCACCATATTGCACCTGGTTTGATATATGGCAGGACACTCAATTTTCATTTGGCAAATGAMTGTATCACAAGTAAAAACATACCATTAATTCCATCATTTTCTAGATCTGATATCACAGGAAGAGGTCTGCAAATCAATATAAAGCATCAAATTTAAAAGATATATTGCAATTTCACAAATTGATGCTTTCAGAAAGGATGGTCTTTCRTAAATAGAAAACTAACAAAACTTACAAAATGTTGCCATCATGATTCTCTGTGATATCCAGCCTCCATACTGGTTTAAGTTGGAAGACRTCAGGTGCTCTGAAGATGAACACTGCGACTACAAATGCTACAACAACACCAACATCTTGATATCTCACTCTCTTAAATGATTCTGATGCAACCATGAAAGTGTCTGTTTATCACATCAACCTTAAGAGAGAAACATTATACATAAGTCATACTGATGAATAGATAAGGATGGGAATATGGAGGAAATAAGTATATAAGTTGAATGGTTTGATTGATGAATAAATGAATGGAATACAGGATGAAAAAAAGGATGGATAACAGGAAGAGTGAATGAAT